GAAGGCAGGGGACACCCTGGACAGGTCACCAGTCTATCACAGGGCCACACTTAGAGACAGACAACCAAGCACACTCACATTCACACAATTTAGAATCACCAATTAACCTCAGCATGTTTTTGGACTTGTGGGAGGAAGCCTGGAGAGAACCCATGCTACACAGGGAGAACTTGCAAACTCCACGCAGAAAGATCCCCCACCAGGACGTGAACCGGTGACCTTCTTGCTGCGAGGCAACAGTGCTACCAACTGCACCACCTTACAGCCCACAATTACACTGGTATATCTTATTATTCTTCTTCTTCTTCTTATTATTATTATTAATAACAATAATAACAACAACAACAATAACAACAACAACAACAACAACAACAACAACAACAACAAATATATTCCTACAGTGTAAAACTGGCTTCATTGCACCACTATATGTAATTACATGTCAAACAATATTAAATGCTTCTTCATATTTTTCTGCAATTTTACTGATAACAGAGGACTCAAATTATTAATTGTTATATATATATATATATATATAAAGTTGATAATCGAGTAATCAACTAATTGTTGGGTGGTTTATTCTATATGAAAGTATTTCATTTCGTTGTCCAGTATCAAAGCAATACAAGGAGGTCTGCTATTTCCCTCTGAAAGGTGCTGGAGCAAAAGCATGAAATAGCATGAAAAAAAAAAAAACAACGTCTGTGTTTGCTTTTGTTTTGACAGGCAGCGCCGGAAGTGTAGCTGTTCCTGCCGATAGTTAGCTTAACGCTACGCTGCTTCAATACTAATTTCCTGACCCAACTCCAAACGCTGCGTTGTAAAGCTGAACGGACTCCCTCAGACCGGCCACCCGGTGCTCCACCGACACACGGAAAATAACCAAACAGTCCTGTTACGCTTTTTACTGCCAGTCACAGGCAGCTGAGCATTCCTTGGTCCATATATCTGTGTAAATACACCTAATATTAGTCGTTATAGTCTGAGGCTCGCAGAGGCTTGGACGTGATGCGAGCGAACGGGATAGAAATTCCCTAGTTATTTAAATCCAGTCACAGGCCATCGCCGGTATGCTAATTTCGTAAATTTGGAGCAGACTGAAGCAGAAGTAGGAGGCAAAATGGGATTCTTGCACCAGCTCCATCTTCTCCTGTGGAAGAACATCTCTTTGAAGAGGAGGGGATCGGTAAGATGAGACATTTGCTCGCATGACAGTCTATAAATGTCGATTAAAAACAGAGTCGTGTTTTGTTGTCGGTGTCGTTGGAAGCAGACGGGCGTCGGTTTAGCTGCTCTGCTGCTGCATTGCCCGCAGCTGCTATCTGGGCTAATTCTAGCAGCACCTGTCTGTGTGGAACTCCTAACCTGTTGTCAGACATCACAATAACACCGCAATGGGCTTTGTGATGCGATGCTGATGATTTAGTGCCAGCGTGCCTGTGTTGTGTATGTGCCCAGACAGTACTGTCAAACAGGTTGTTGTTTGTGGATAAACAACAGTTGTGTCATTTCTGTCTGGCTTTGTTGAGCTCAGGTGTGGATAGGCCTGGTGTCTGTCAGCTCAGGAGTGCTGACCTGAGCTAACTTTCATGATGATTTGATCACCAAAACCTGTCATCGTGTCTCTTTTACATATTTACTTATCTTGCGTTTTCATATTAAACTCACAGCATATGTAACTCCTTGTCACTGTGAAACTACACTGTGACAGCACCTGATGGAGAATATTGTGGAGAGTTCATATGAACATCCTGAACATGATATTTATGGCAGCGGGTATATTACTGACTTTTGTTGTTGCCATTTTAGTTATGAAGGTAGAATTTACGTTGCTATTCAGATGAGACAAAATGTTTAGTTTTACCATGAATGTTGATGCAACAGCGTCTTACAAAGCCTCAACCATACTCAAGTGCTCTATTGTTGCATTTCATGAAGTTAGGTGACTTACAGAGAGATTTTTCAAAATCACCAGAATTGAAGCAGCAGAGATATCCCAACTTATATGGATGGATAGATTGATACTTTATTTCTCCCTGTGGGGAAATTCACAAATTCCAGCAGCATCCACACACAATAGATAAAAAGCAAGCAATAACTGATCCCTAATATTTGTTAAGCTACAGAAAACACTGGACCCTATATTTTCCACAGTACAATGTAATACTTGGCAATGTTTCTTGTCATGAGACTGCCACTGTCTGACACACACTCACAATTCTTCAACTCATACATTCTGCTGAATGAAAAATTGCGATTTAAGGCCCACTCTCTCTCGAGTATCGCAGTGATTTTAACCATTTCTGGAGCTTCAGCGGATTGAATTGCTTAGTTGTCATGGTGATAGCACAGTTGTCATCGTATGATGACATGTAGTACCAGACAGTTAATCTGCAGTTTTAAGGTAAAATATGAACTTTGTTTAACCATGTCTCCAGGCACGTGTTTAAAAATGTGCAGTGTTCATGGCTGAATTGAGTTACTCATGTAGTATCACTGGGGTAATTGTCTCGGATGCCATCACCAGACCAACACAAGTCATTCACAGAATAGGTGGTAGTCCATGTGATGAGTAAACTGACCTTTGACATGTCAGGTTTGTGGAGTGCACCTTCAGTAACTGAGCAGGACTTAATAAGGACATATAGTGGGGGACAGGAAAAAAATACATACTCTTTAAATCTGAGGCTTAGCTTTAAAAACATATATGGACGTTGGTACCTCTAAGTATCTGTTATGCTGGCTAGCTATCTGGGCAAATATACAAACTCATGTTGCACTACAGCAGGGATTAGTGGCCTGGTTGATTATCAGATCAAGCAATCAGCATTTTTTGTTTTTTTAAATCAATTTCTGGTACTGTTATTGTGATACAGTTGTATGTGATACACTATATCTATAGTATTTTTTTAAAGATAATGTTATGGAGACTTCCCCCCCAGGGAAGGAGTCACTAATACCTGTTAGCATCTTTGCTGCTAATGCCCCCCCCCCCGCGGGGCGCTGTCACAGATTTCTGGCAAGAGCCCTGCCAGTGTATATGATCTTGTTACATATTGCTTTGTCACTGTCAAAAAAAATCCCATCACCTTCAGACTGACTTAATCATTCACAAATAAATAAATAAGCAGGCAAACATACTGAGTGACATTCCATGAAATGCCCTTCTCCAGATTCCAGATGTGTGATATAAGATGTGTGATATAATCTGGTGACCTTTGCAACTATTCCATCTGACTATGCATATTGTGGCATATTGTGGAGCTTTAAATCTCTACAGGGTCTATTCTTAGCCATCAGATTTCCTAAAAACCTGTCAGCCAATTTATTTTAGTAATGTTTGTGCTCTTTCTAAAAGCTGAGGTTGAATCTGACCTCAGGCAGCTGGATTTTTATCGCTTTTGCTGCATTTACTGGTGTCCTGAAAGAGGGGTTGGTGTAGGTAGGGTTTGTGTTTATGTGGGAGCAGCTATTTTTAGCCAATTTACCTGCAGACATCAAACTTGGAGGAGACATGAGAGATACACTGGAGAGCTTCTGTTTTAAGAATAGTAACAGCTGCGTCATTTCTGTCTAGATTTATAATGACACTGCCCTGGTTTTGCCTCATTAAAGCTGTCCATTGGATTGATGATGAGAGCAGAACAGACTAGTCAGCACTTAGCCGAGATAGCTTCAATCCCATATGCCCCGGTAAGTGCCAACTGACTTAGACCAGCTGATTTAGACATGAAAGGCAAATCATGGCCCAGTTGTGTAACAACAATAAAACTGTTGATAGGTGAAGTGAATAACATTGGTTATCTTTCAACATTGGCATCTGTCAAGGGGTGGGATCTATTAGGTAGCAAATGGTCTGTTTTTGAAAGTGATGTGTTAGGAGAAAGAAAAATGGGCAAGTATGAGTAACTTTGATTGGGGTTGAATTGTGGCAAGTCTTGTGGGGTGTTCTGGTATATTATGGTTAGAACATACCAAAAATGGTCCAAACAAGGACAAACACTGAAATGGCGACAGGGTCATGTATGCCCTTGGCTCACTGATGCGCATGAAGACTGAATGCTGGCCCTTGTGGTCTTATTTTGCAGAGGAGCCACTTTACTGTACATGTAACTTATCTGATTTTTTATACTTAAATCTCTTCTGTTTTTCATTTTTTTGCTCTTTATTTTGTACTTTATTATGTATGGCACTGAAGGAGCTGCTCTTAATCTCATTGTATTTGTGTATAGTGACAATAAAGGCATTCTGTTCTATTCTATTCTTTAGGACAAATTGCAAAAAACCTTAATGCTGGCTTTGATAAAAAGTTATGGGAACACAGTGTCTTGCAGCTTGCTGTGCAGATACAGAGAGCTCAGAGTGCCTATGCTGACCCCTGTCCACTGTTGAAAGCACCGATAGAGGGCATGTCAGTTTCAGAGCTATAGTATGTAACAATAAAAAAAGGTGATCTGTATGAAGAATCTTGTTTTCTTTCACGTCATATAGACAGCATGGTATTCTGTGATAGCATAGGCCTCTTTGGGCATTAAGCATTAAATATCTGTGGAATGTCCTGGAATGCAAGTCCAAACCAAGGATGCACCACCTTGTAACGTAGAGCAGGGGTTCTCAACTGGTCTCACCCTGGGACCCACATTTTCCCATGGTCATTAAGTTGCGACCCAATTTTTTTTTTAGAATTCAATATTCAATATATTTTCCTGTGCAACATGCATTTCAGAGCATATAACCATGCATAGTAACTGGACCATGACAACTGCATGTACAAAACTGCACAAAATAAAAAAGGGCACAAAACAACATATTTTCACTCCATTTTAAGCAAATTAATAAGAAACTGTGGAGGACCATGACAACTGCATGTATGTACAAAAGTGAATAAAGTAAATATCAAAACTACTTGAAAATAAAGGTTTGGCCTAATCAGGTCATTTGTTGAACTTAACGAGACAGTTGGACACGTGCTCTACTCCTGATTAGAGTTTCAGAGTCTGGGGTGACAGTAGACAGAGCTACTCTCAGATCATACTCAGTGTCCAACCTGTTCCTCTGCTGTGACTTGAGCTGGACCAAGGCAGAGAAGCCACTGTCACACCAACAGGTTGAGCTGAATAGTAGGCTTGTTTTAACTGCAAGAGTGGCGAGGGATGGATACTCAGCCATCACATCGCTGCACCAGAAGTGGGAAAGGCTTACCTCCCCACATCTCTTTCTCAACATCTGATCACATGACAGCTCCAGCAGCTGATGCTCTCGTGCAGCCACATTTCGTTGTCAAACAGTTCTGCATACAGGGAGTTAGTCTCAGAGAGGAATGTGGTGATTTCTTATTTAAGTTTGTAAAACCGTGACAACATCTTGCTCCTTGACAGCCAGCGGACTTCTGGGTGCGCGCAGGCTCCGATGGGCCGGAAGTGGCGGGACGCAAAGGCAGCTTTTGGCTGGGAGGGAGCTTATTTTTCAGACGGGGGGTGCAGGTGCCGAGCATTCGGTCCGACGGACGGTCACAGTGCTGTATCGGTGGTAGCGGCAGCTGCGGCAGGGATGGAGGTGGGAGGAATATTCAGAGATCAAAACTGATATCCCGATTCCAGCACAGTGAACGAATAGTTGGCTATTGGGGTTCAGTCCTAGTATGAAAATCCACATTTTAAATACTCCAGGTCATATTTGACAACACAAACTTAAAATGAACGTCAAACTATGGTTACCATGCCTGTCAAAACAAAGTTTTTTCAAAATAAAAAATACGTCCAACCTGAGATATATATATATTATTTAATTTTGACCAGCTGTCCGCGACCCAAAAGTGGGTCGCGACCCACCAGTTGAGAACCCCTGACTTAGAGGACTTAAAAGATTTGAAGTGTCTTGGTGTCTGATGCCATAGGATACCGTCAGAGTTCTTGTGGAGTCTGTACCTTGATGTGTCAGAGCTGTTTTGGTGGCATCAGAAGGATGTACACAATATAAGGCAAGTGATTGTGGCTGATCACTGTATAGAACCGCCACCCTAAAGACCAAGTTAAGATCTTGTGTCCTGTTCAGACATTTATTGCATTCTTGATCAAGAATGATCCCTCTGTTATTCAGCACAAGATACCTGGGTAGGAGCAGGATATCAAAGAATTAAAGCTGCAATAGGGATTTTTTTATTCATTTGCAGGCAGCAGATAAATT